AAAGCCAAATGCACAATTCATTGCAGACATGCCTTGATCCCAATAGACTTTACTACTTTTCGGTATTTAGTAGCTACAGCTACTTTTACCATTGCATGAACAACGCCCTTCTTACAGTTCATCGAAGTTCACCTAATGACTTCAAGAGCCTAATAGGTACCAATAAGGCAGTAGATGAGGCTATGGCAAACTGGTTGGATTAGTGGGTCTTGACCCAATAATTACAAAGTTCCAGGAACACAAAATAGTTCCCAACGTCTTGCATGTGGAAGCAACAAGAAAGTGCCATTTTCTATTATTTTTGTGAGAATTCAAGCAGCTTTTTATAGGACAGTCTATACCTGACACTATCCTAAATGTGAGAGACCCTAAAGAGAACAACCACTGAGCTCTTGGCCAGGGTGTCCTCTTCCCACTGCTCCGTTCTTAGCTGGGAGAGTGTACTCTTTGCCTACTTTTAGTTAGCTCAAGCTCACTCTGCAGAGCATCTTTCTTTTCTTTTCGTATTGTTAATAAATATAACCTTGTTACTATTTTAACTTGTTTTAATCAATTCTTTGATCAGGACAGACTGAACTTAGAAACTGCCTGTAGGAGACTCCAGCACTCCATAACCTCATAACTTCACCTTGATTCTTTTAGAAGTCTTAAAGACAGTTCTTGTAAGATCTCGGTTATATTTTTCCCCTGACTGTATTTTACTTTAATTATCCACCAGGAAGAACTTGAGGTGTTGCATAGTTTTATTTTGCAACCTCCCTATCCTGAATCCTCTCAAAATTTGAATTGTAAATTGGTTGGTTCCTTAAGTCACTTAGTTGTTTTTTTTTGTTTTTGTTTTTGTTTTTTTCTTATGTTACTTCATTATACGCAACCACTGAATTTGGGATCACTTTCAACATTCTGCCTATTTTCATTTTGTCTTTTGCATAGTTTCTAAATCTTTACAATCAACTTGTTTAAATCTAAATTTTCCTTTACTCTCAAGCATTATCAAGTAGATGATGAGACTGTTCTTTACCTGCATTCTTTAAAATGTTTTCTAGTTCTTCCATGAAAATATCATGCAATTGAAATGTGGGACAGGAGAATCAAATTTTAGATTACAATTACTTTAAATTTAAAAAGCTACTTGCAGCTAGTGACTACTGTATTAGTAAAACTTTGGTACATTTTCTGTTGTCCTTATTCCAGACAAGTTTTATCACTTGTTCCACTACTACATAGAGTCATGATTTTCAGTCTTTTGTAATGATCTTACCCCTCATATTCCAGACCCTGAAATAAGACCCAAATTCAACTTCGAGTTTCTTTTATTGTAGTTATTGCAATGCTTTCTCTTGTACATGTTTTTGCAACTGTGTACCAAGACACCCAGTAAGTTAATGATTTAAGCAATAATTAACTGAAAGATGGTCTTACTTAGTAACTAAATTGACACCATTTTTTTTCTTTCTCTGACCTATCCTTTTCTTAAACCCAGGCCCTGACTTAATGAGGAACTAGCTTTTGCCACTTGCTTTGATTCTTTTATGCCCTTAATGAAAGAAATTCATCAAGACAGATAGGTGTCATACAGATGTGTTGGTACTGTAAAGTAGATATAGAAATATTTACACCTTCAGGTAAGAAAGCAAGAAATATCCCAAAGACATCTGCACCAAATATTAGTTTGCATACCACTTTATGAACACAAAAGGGGTTCAGGAAACTGTGGCGATTATAAAGCTTATGTATTTTTTAGAGGTTATTTAGTAAAGACAATAACCCAAAAATGTCTTCCTTTTTCATTTTCTGGGATAAATGTTCACTCGGGGCCCTTAATCATATAAGAATCTTAATCAAGTCTTAGTTCAAGGAGGGAGGGTTTCCAAAAATGTTCCTTGTTATGAAATCATTGAGTATGCACCATGACACCTAGGGAAGGTGAGTATCTTATTTTGGAAACACACAGTCAGATGGTCAGATGGTCAGATTTTGAAAGTGAGAGCGGGAGATAAAGGAACAAAGTATAAGCACCTGGGGATATAAAGGCAGAGTGAGAGAGGCTGGGGGAAACCGGAATGCAGATGACAAAGGATCAATAACATCTCCTGATGACAAAACCCTGGCAAGAAGCAACAAAACCTCATTTCTGCATGTTCTATGCCCCCTTATCTTCCCTTTAAGTTCCTAAATTCAGGAGCTTGCTAGGTGTCTCCTTTGCCTCCCTTAACTATTGAGAGTTTTGTTGTTATTGTTGTTGTTCTTACAGTGTTCCTACAATGAATCAACCGGGTATCATTCCCTCACTGCTTGCAGTTATGACTGTATCATTCTTCATCATTCTCATGACAAAAAACCAAAGGAGCAGAGATAGTTACAAAGTGATTGTGCAGTATGTGTAACACTTAAAATGTCACTGTGCTCTGTGGGATCATTTTAGGTCTGAGACCTACAAATGATTATAAATGTGTCGATACATCGAAATTTTATTTCCTTTCTTCTTCTAACTGGAAAAGATGATATTTTGACACATGTGCCTCCCACTTTTGCATCAGGCCCATTAATATCTAATTACCTCCCTAATTCCTTGGCAACAAATACAGACAATTTCCTCGGCACCAATAGCAGATGACCACTGTCTCCACTTCGTGTGCTATGCAAACTCCCTCAACTCTTGCATTTGTCCTTTCATCCTGGTAACCTCAAGATCACTAGTGATGCTCTGTGATAGCCCTTAGGCTTGTCTCCCCGGTGTGGCCATAATGAAATTAAAGTTCTATTTCATAGTTTGCCATCAACTTCTCTGCTAGTTTTTCTTTTGGTAGAAGTGGCCAGATGAGTCAGGTTGTACTCCACAGGTCAAGTTGTTGCTTATGACTTTGGTAACATTTTTATTTAACCTAACGCTAGGTTTTATCATTCAGCTTGAAGTCAAGTCTCAATAGGGCTCTCACTTAGGAGATCAAAGGAAACTTCAGCTCCAGGCAGCTGGGACAACTGGGATTGAAAGGACAATTCTGCATAGCTAGCTCTCACATCCTTCCAGCAGGATACGTTTGCTGTTCTCATGTGGCTGCCTTGCTAGAAGAAGAATAGATAAAGTCCAAGTATTCTAGTGGTTTTCAAGACTGCAATTCAGAGAAAGAACAACTACCTAGCAAGGTACCTAGAAGTTATTTTATAAAAAAGGAATCTCCTGTGAAGATCACGTAAAGTGTTACATTTGTTTGCTTAAAATGGAAAAAAAAGGAAATTGAACTAAAGTGAAACAGTATTGGGATTTCAACCAAATCATTCTTCACCACAGTGAATCTCCCATAGACTGCAAAAGTAAATTACAAAAAGCATTAAAATGAGTGAATTGATCTTTTATACTGAATGTTTTATTTATAGAGTTTTGATTGAATTCATGCAATAAACAAAAAAGAAATTAACATCTCTTCCCAGTTATATTTTATTGGTTTTGGTGTGTGTGTTTTATTTTTATAAATTAATTACATAATCATAATATCACAGTTGTTTACTTATATGTTAATATTAAATATACTGTTTTATCATGAACTCTTTTGCTACTGATAGAATGAATATACAAATGGAAAATAGCCAGATCATACATAAAAATAGAGTTCTGATCTGTACAAAATACCCAGGAAGCCCTTTATCTTCTATAATAGCTACCAAGGAAGCTATTATTTATAATAAAGAGCTCAGAAAATGTTACTTATAGGAAATCTGACTGCTATCTCTATAATCAATTCAGGAAACCAATAATAGCCCCATAATAACCCCAAAATTACTAGAACCGGATTAAGAATTTCCATTCTTGAGTTTGAATTTTGTAAAATTTTACATACAAGGTGTATTCTTTATTGTGTACTTTCTTTCATTCAGCATACATGTGAGATTTATCAAAGTTCTTTGTATCAGTATTTTATTAATTTTCATTGCTATGGATATTTTATTATTTAAACATAATACAGTATAATCGATTCACCTCACCATGGACATTTCAGATAATTTCAAATTTTAGCCTTCTGAATAAGGTTGCTGTGAATACACATGTACAAATCCTTGTAAAGACAAAAGCTTTCATATATGTATGATACACCTAGGATTGGAATGGCTTGATAATATGATGAGCATATGTTTGATTTTTTTATGAAACATGTTTCTAATTACATTAATAGATTTTCAACTGTTATGTTTTCCTGAGATAAATCATGCTAGTAATGATGTGTTTTCCTTTTTACACATTGTTGGATTTTATTAGTACTTTCTGTCTCTTGCCTTGTATTTTTGCTTTAATAAGAGTTCACCTGCACTTTCTTTAAGTTTCCTCATTTATATGATGAATGCAAGAAAAGTATTCATTTACTTCATATTAAGTGAAGCTTACATGCAAATAGTGTCATCTCAGTTTATGAACTTAATTTCCCTTACAACTTTGCAAAAAGCTGCATGTCTGGTTGCGTGGCAAGGATGAAAGGATACTGTTTGCCATCTAGTGCAGAGTTTATAAATGCAAGCATTTTATTGAACGCTTTTGTTTGTGATTAAAACTTTTTGCAAATAGAAGTATTCATGAACTGAGGTATTACTGTGTTCAATTCTTTGCTGTAAACTATATATGTAAACAAGATGAATAAATATTTTCAAGGCATCTTTTTATCCACTACCTTTCTCTATTTTTTAAATTTTTCTGTTGTTCTGTTTTCCAAGTGAAAGTCAAGTGTCAGAAAAGTTTACCCTTCGAAGTAGGTAAACAGCTTTTCAGAGCCACTGTACACAAATGGTATGAAACAGCCATTAGTGTGGTGATATAAAATGACTTTTAATTTAAAAATATTGAATACAATTACTATGCAGATAAAATCTTTCTGTACAAATAGTTCAAGCTACTTGGATGAAATTATAGTATCAAAATAAAACAGTGATTCAAATATTATTTTTAAAATGTAGTACATTTAGCTAATGAAAGAGAAAATGTTACGTAATTGAATGTTTTATTTATTTATTATGTAATTTACTTATAATAAATTAGTCAGGTGTTACATGATCAAATGCAAAATTTTTGTCACTTATTTGAGTATATGTTTATATAACAAACACATAAAATACAGAATTATTTCCTGACCCCAAAAAAGTTCTTCATGCTTCTGTAATGGAAAAGATAAACTCTGACCTTTAGATGTCAGATGTGCTGAGGTCTTGGCATCTCAACATCAATAAATGAAGTCTCCTACCAAAGTAAGAAGTTGGGAGATCTTATTACTCTTTCAGTTTTATCATTTTTATACTACTAGAGAGACAATGATATTTACAAATATGAGTCTGATTTATTTCACCTATGAGAATAGTCTCAAGTTGCCTCCACTTACCTATAAAAGCTTCAAGATCATCCATTTTATAGTTGAGTAATATTCCATTATATAAAAATACCACATCTTTTTCATCTCCTCTGCAGTTATTGGGCATTTTGGTTGTTTCCTGTTGGGAGCCGCGGCCGAGCCCGGTCACCTTACTTGGCGGACGTGAGGCCTGTAGGAAAGAGCAAAGCCTGAGCTAGATTACCCCTCCCATCGAGTGTGCTAAGATGGCGCTTATTTCCTGCTTGGTAAACAACCCGCCCTGTAAGATCTCCTGCTTCCTGCTTGGTAAACAACCCGCCCTGTAAGATCTCCTGCTTCCTGCTTGGTAAACAACCCGCCCTGTAAGATCTCCTGCTTCCTGCTTGGTAAACAACCCGCCCTGTAAGATCTCCTGCTTCACAACCCGCCCTGTAAGATAGTCTGCCTAGCAACAACTGATGTTAGCCAATCAGCCCGCATCGCGCGCTTTGAACTGGTTGGCCACTGTAACCCTATAAAAGTGAGTGCCTCTCCCGCCAAGAAAAAAAGAAGAAGCAAAAGAAGCAGAAGAAGCACGCAAGGAGCCGCGGAGAGCGGACCGGTAGAGGCTTCGGGACAGACTGTAGGGAGAAGCACGCAAGGAGCCGCGGAGAGCGGACCGGTAGAGGCTTCGGGACAGACTGTAGGGAGAAGCATGCAAGGAGCCGCGGGGAGCGGACCAACAGAGGCTTCGGCCGGGAGGATTCCCGGGGCAGGCTGTACGGAGAAGGAAAATAAAAGAAAAGGTTGTCCACTGCCAGACTTTGTTGTGTGTCCTTCCTGCCGGCCGGGAGTGACACCGACATCTGGTGGCCCGTACGGGGAACTGAATAAAAGAAAAGGTTGTCCACTGCCAGACTTTGTTGTGTGTCCTTCCTGCCGGCCGGGAGTGACACCGACAGTTTCCAAGATTTAGCTATTGTAAATTGTACTGCTATAAACATGAGTGCACATATATTATTGTGACATGACCTTTTCAGTTTTTCTGGGAAAATACACGAGAGGGGAATAGCTGGACTGAATGGAACTTCCAATCCTAGTTTTCTGAGGAATCTCCATAGTGGTTTCCACAGTCTGCACCATTCTACACTCCCATCCTTTTTATAATAGATATTGCAATAATGAAAAGAAAGGAAAGTGATCCAAAGGATATAACTGTATGTATAAGTGTGTAATTTAGATAATCATACTACTAAGTTCTTGTTACTCCCCAACATAATAGTTAGTTCTGTCATCATTTGATTTTCCACTTTTTTGCTTTGATTTTGCAACTTGAACAAGTATTTCTGTTTCTTAGTGTTATTTTTTGAAATTTTGTTATTTTTATCCTTTTTTCTGTTTTGCTTTTCTTCTCTAAATAAAAAAAAAGCGAAGTTGGGAAAATTTTCCTGGAAATAACAAGAAGACCCATTCTTGGATTTCCAGGAGGGTTCTGAATGGATAGCCACTGAGGTCTTTTTGCAAAGGGTAATTTATATAACAAAATTACCTTGTGGATTCAACATGGTGAAATTGCAATGAATCTATAGGATTACAAATATAGTTACTTAGCTAATGTTGATCCAACAGAAAATAAAACGCATAGCAAGGGTATATGGCAGGAACAAAGGCATTCTGGAAAGGGTTGTATCTATATGTTCCAGCCACCACTTTTCTATTTGATGCTCATCTGTCCTCACTGGACCACGTGCTGCTTATTATACAGCATCATCTCAATTTGCTGTTTCTCTGAGAAGGTTCATAGGCCTGGGTATTGCACTCCTTCTTTGGCTTGGTTTTCTTCAGGTTTGTCTCCAGCCACAACTTGTATGTCTTGTCCTCTGTGCTGACTTCCTTGAGGGCCCAATCCGTTGCTGACTGCTCATTAATTTCTAACTTAGCTGTCTAGCATACTCTTTGTGGTCAATACACACCCCACCATGCTTATTGCCCATGTCCCTTTCAATTATTTACTTTTCTCTTTCTTTCTTTCTTTCTTTCTTTCTTTCTTTCTTTCTTTCTCTCATTTCTCATTTGTTATTTTATGCTTTTTCTATTTTAATGAATTGACATCTATATTGTTAAATTTGCTATTATCTTCTTTCTAAAAATATAAGCATAGATACAAGACTATTTCTAAGTCTCATAGCAACATTCAAGCTTTATTTTCACTCAAAAATCTTATTTTTCCTTAGTTTATTGTAATTTCATTTTTAATCACTTTATAATTTCATTTAAAAGATAGTTTTGTTTATATTTTACGTTTTTATTCTTTCTAAAAGCATCATACCATAGAGCTCTATACACCTCTATGTTTATAGCAGCACAGTTTGTAATAGCTAAGTATTGGAAACAGCTGAAATGTCCATCAACTGATGAATGGATAAAAAAGATGTATTTTATTAGACAATGGGGTACTAGTTAGCCATAAAGAAGGATAAACTTGAGACACACACAGGTAAATAGCTGCACCCACGCACCACACTCAAGTATAATAAATCAAATTCACACATGTAAATATTGCACACTTTCTCTGGTGTGAAAAATTGTAAGTGTAAATAAAAAAGAAAATGTGTAATAGATATTGTGAAACAGGAAGAAAATGTTCAAATGAGAAGTTGCACAAGGGAGCAGAGAAGAAAAAAGGAAAGAAGGAAAAAGAAAGAATGAGAGGACAAAGATAAAATGAAAACAAAGCTTTTGAAAATAAAAATGATAGGAGGGGCAAAAGGGAGGGGAAGGAAATGGAGAAAAATAATAGAGATATGTCTCGTACAGGATCAAGTTCCTTATGATGATGTGATCATTATGCATATTTAAACCATAAACAACAAAATGAGTTATAAAATATAAATAAGGTACATAAGACATTGACTTTACTCCCTTCTTTTCTAATATAAGTATATACTAATATAAGTACTTATATTTAATTATACTTATATTTACAAATCTAAAAATGTACACTTTCCTATTTTCATGGCAGTTTTTCCTTTGACTAAATTTTTAAATGTTTGAATCATCAAACTATCATTTTAAACTTGTTTTAGATGTATTTTCAATGCAATAAAGTATTCTTGGTGATTTGAATTCATTTTTATTTATTAAGAATTACAATCAGGGACCCAGCCAAGAGTCCCAATTGTCAATATCAAAAACCTGACCAAGAATCCTAATTGTCAGTCTCAAGACTGTCACGAGAAAAATAAAAACCAGAGAAAAGTATCCTATTCCAACAAAGGCTGGGAAGTCAGTGTCCCCGGATCTAACCTTTTCCACTCCCCAACTGTCACTATTCACTTGATTTCTACAGTGATAGGTGGGGTTAGCAAAGGATTATAATTCATCCAAAGACTCTGACTTCAGAGAGATAATCTTATGTTTGAAATATCTTGATCTGAGTATAATCCGGTGATGATTTAAGGAAACGTAGATGATCTTATGCTTAGAAGTATATTGTGTTTGAGCACAATCCTGAGATGATTTAAGAAGGTATAGATGATCTTATGCTTGGAAGAGTCAGTGGAAAATAACAGATGGGTGTTACCAACAGTCCCAATCCTTCCTTTCATCCCACAGGGAAATACATAAAACCAGTCACTGTGAATTTGTGGTCTCCAAAAACTAGTACATGTATGTGAATCACTGTAAGAATTCAAGAGCTGGTGGATATCACAATCTATAAATACCAAATAGTTCAAGTTGGCTTGTAATTCTATTAAAATCAATCATGCATTACTTTTGACAAATGTGTCTATTTGATCCATAAGAAAGGGATTTTGAAATCTATAACAATATCAGTTTATTCTGTATATTAATTTTCTTCTGTTAAGTGTTCAAATGTACATTTCAAAATTATTTTATTAAGTGCATGTATATTTAGAATTTCCATGCCTTAAGAAGTATTGATTTTTTTTATTGCTATACATTATTTCTCCTAAAAATATTTTTTCTGCATGAAACATAACATACCTTAAGTAAACATAACATACCTTAAGCCATGGCATTGTCATTCCATGCTATATTTTCCCCATATTTGTTATAAATTTCTATTTCTTAATAACATACTTTTTTTTAAATTCAAAAAAAAAAATATTTCATCACATTTGGGGTGTACACTGCAGCTCTGCTGCTCCAGAAATGAATTAATGGAATAAAGTTCAAAAAGGAAACATTTTCTTGAAAAGAGGAAAAGGGGGACACAGCTACTCCAAAGATTAGGGGTTGCTAGAAAGTAGAACATACCCAGGCTTTGGGATTCAGTTACCTTTTTTTATGTTTTGGGAACCCTCTCCCACCAGGTCAATATCTGGAATTTGTCCCAACCTGGTTTGCTTTCTGGATGGTCACAGATGGACCTCAGGCCGTAGTATCTTAACTCTGGCATCAACACCCGTGTGCATTGCCTAAGTGGACCCACTAGTCCTTTGCACAGCCTCCCATCTGGGATTGACAGATTGCTTAACAGGAACCTTACATGCAAGGTTGAGTTAGTGCATAAGTAAGGTGCTAGTGCAGTTATAAGAGCCTGGAGTGTGGGGGAAATATATGTGTGTGTGTGTGTGTGTGTGTGTGTGTGTGTGTGTGTGTGTATGTGTGTGTGTTTTCTTTTAAGTGGCTACCTCTTCTCTTGCATTTTATTGAGGGTAGGGAGCAGTGGTTAACTTGTGCTCCATACTGTATTTATCAGTCCTCTCTTGTGTTTTTAATCTTTCCCTCCAATGAAGTTTTAAATCTCTCTAGTCAAACTTAGAAAAACCAAAGAGGCTTTCCATGCCTACAAACACCTTTCTCCTATAACTTGTTTCTGTATTTTGTCACCCCCACAAATATCCTCTGTCTTTTGAGATTTGTCAGTTCATTTGTAGGTAATTAATCACTAACATGATCAGTTTTAGTCTAGCACCAGCCATTTACTTTCTATTTGTCCTGTGTAACCTTTATTCCTCACTTTCTATTTTTTCCTATCTTCATTTGAATGACTTGAATATTTTCTGAATTTCATTTTTTCTGGCCATTTTGGGTGTCCTACTTTGTGTTAAATTTTAAATTATTCTGGGACTTGTCTTACCTATTTTCTGCTATCATAATCAATATCAAGTTTATTTCACTATCATACACTGCAAGAATCTGAACTATTTCATTGATCCTGTTATAGCTTCCTTTTGTGTTCCA